TTGCTTCGCTTCACTTAGTCTTGAGTCTTATTTATTATTTATTTTATTTGTATTATCTCACCTTTGACCTCCTCGTGTCTCTTAACCTGTTAACATGTTATATGTTCCTGCATGTATCTGTAAAGTTCTTAACATCTGATCTGAGGGGAACTTCCTGTGTATTTTTAACTGGTGATGTGTCATTTTGTAAATGTGCCGTATAAATAATAATAATAATTATTATTATTATATCATAGAAGATGTCTCAAGCGTCTTTAACTGATAAACCTCAGGTCTAAAACATCAATGCAACACATTTCTGACACTTTTAAAAAAGAAAATTCAGAAAAGTTCTATATTTATTTCAGAAAAATTCTATATTTCTTTCAGAACATTTCTAAAAAGAAATCAGAAAAATGTAGAATTGCCAGAGCCTCGGTGTGTCCGGATGAACTCGGTGTGTCCGGATGAACTCGGATTAAAAATTCTACATTTTTTTCACAACATTTAAAAAAGAAATTCAGAACATTTCTAAAAAAAAAATCAGAAAAATTCTACATTTATTTGAGAAAAATTATATATTTTGTTCAGAACATTTCTACATTAGCCAGAGCCCGGTGTGTCCGGATGAACTCGGATGAAAAATTCTACATTTCTTTCAGAAAAATTATGCATTTTTTTCAGAAGAATTCTATATTTATTTCAGAGAAATTCTAAAATTATTTCAGAGACATTTACGGAGCCCCTAAAGGAACATGGAAAAAAATCAATAAAGAGAGAGAGAAAAAAAAAAGTCCGGATAATGGGTAAGTATGTCCCTAAAATTAAGTCGCAGTTCGAAATATATCTCAAATAATGTATGCTCTGTCATTTCCCCACGTAAACTTAACAGTCTGCAATGAAATGGTTGTCTCCTGTGTGCTCCACTTCCTCCTTGGCGCACCGGTAACTTTCTAAAAAAAAAAAATAAAGTCAGGATAACGGGTTAGTTTCTCGTGCGCACGTTTTCCTGACTTTATTTTTTCTCATGTCTCTTAAACCGTTATCCCGAGTTTTTTTTTTTTATCTTCTTTTTTTTTTTTTCACAAGATACTTTCTCGTGCGCACGAGATACTAACCCGTTATCCCGACTTTTTTTTTTTTCTCGCTCTCTCTTTTTTTTTTTTCATGTCCCTTTAGGGGGGGGGGGGGGTTACCTTGGTTGGTGATTGGCTAATGGTTACTCAAGCCAAAACATCGTTATGACATTATGACATCATAAAGTGGCCAAAATCTGATCAGCTCATTTTCAGACAGGTTTTTATAGAAATGGATCAGGACAAAAAGAGAGAGAATCTTTGTTCCTGAAACTTTCAGAGTCTCTTTCCACAGAGGGGACACATGTTGATGTAGAAGAGACATGAAGAAGAGGGGACACATGTTGATGTAGAAGTGACATGAAGAAGAGGGGACACATGTTGATGTAGAAGAGACATGAAGAAGAGGGGACACATGTTGATGTAGAAGAGACATGAAGAAGAGGGGACACATGTTGATGTAGAAGAGACATGAAGAAGAGGGGACACATGTTGATGTAGAAGAGACATGAAGAAGAGGGGACACATGTTGATGTAGAAGAGACATGAAGAAGAGGGGACACATGTTGATGTAGAAGAGACATGAAGAAGAGGGGACACATGTTGATGTAGAAGAGGACATGAAGAAGAGGGGGACACATGTTGATGTAGAAGAGACATGAAGAAGAGGGGACACATGTTGATGAAGAAGCAGACATGAAGAAGAGGGGACACATGTTGATGAAGAAGAGACATGAAGAAGAGGGGACACATGTTGATGTAGAAGAGACATGAAGAAGAGGGGACACATGTTGATGAAGAAGAGACATGAAGAAGAGGGGACACATGTTGATGTAGAAGAGACATGAAGAAGAGGGGACACATGTTGATGTAGAAGAGACATGAAGAAGAGGGGACACATGTTGATGTAGAAGAGACATGAAGAAGAGGGGACACATGTTGATGTAGAAGAGACATGAAGAAGAGGGGACACATGTTGATGTAGAAGAGACATGAAGAAGAGGGGACACATGTTGATGTAGAAGAGACATGAAGAAGAGGGGACACATGTTGATGTAGAAGAGACATGAAGAAGAGGGGACACATGTTGATGTAGAAGAGACATGAAGAAGAGGGGACACATGTTGATGAAGAAGAGACATGAAGAAGAGGGGACACATGTTGATGTAGAAGAGACATGAAGAAGAGGGGACACATGTTGATGAAGAAGAGACATGAAGAAGAGGGGACACATGTTGATGTAGAAGAGACATGAAGAAGAGGGGACACATGTTGATGTAGAAGAGACATGAAGAAGAGGGGACACATGTTGATGTAGAAGAGACATGAAGAAGAGGATTTAGCAGAATAGGGGACCTTTAAAGAAAGCAGCTCTCTGAGTCTCATCTCTCTGAGTCTCAGCTCTCTGAGTCTCATCTCTCTGAGTCTCATCTCTCTGAGTCTCATCTCTCTGAGTCTCATCTCTCTGAGTCTCATCTCTCTGAGTCTCATCTCTCTGAGTCTCAGCTCTCTGAGTCTCATCTCTCTGAGTCTCAGCTCTCTGAGTCTCAGCTCTCTGAGTCTCATCTCTCTGAGTCTCAGCTCTCTGAGTCTCATCTCTCTGAGTCTCAGCTCTCTGAGTCTCAGCTCTCTGAGTCTCATCTCTCTGAGTCTCAGCTCTCTGAGTCTCAGCTCTCTGAGTCTCAGCTCTCTGAGTCTCAGCTCTCTGAGTCTCATCTCTCTGAGTCTCATCTCTCTGAGTCTCAGCTCTCTGAGTCTCAGCTCTCTGAGTCTCAGCTCTCTGAGTCTCAGCTCTCTGAGTCTCAGCTCTCTTTGCAGCTGCTTCAAAGCCTCAGGAGCAGAGAAACTAAACCTCTTCTCCAGTTCAGTACCAAGAGGCAAAGTGTAGTTCTGTGTAAATGTGAGTACCTTCTCCCCTGGTACTCCATCCCCTGGAAGCCCCCGAGGACCCATCGGCCCCTTGAAGCCAGGCTCTCCCTACGAATAAGAAAAGGTCAATTAGTAAACAACACGAGGGTATCATCGGCATGCAGGGACATCCTGAAGTCCTGTCCATGGAGAGGACACTACGGAGGGGTTTGAGGTAAGATAAGAGATAAGATAAGAACTACTTGATTGATCCCAATGTGGGAAATGTTTGCGTTGCAGCCGCATAAACAGACAAGGCAGTACATTAGAGACATTAAAAGAGTAGAAATAAACAATCCACAATGTAAACATCGTTTGAGGGAAAAGCAAAGGCTAGAGATATAAAAGGAGACAGTGGTCATACATAGAATTAACAGTTTAATGGATCAGAGAGTATAATTATTATTATTGATAACTGTATTATGTTGGTCATCAAGGATGGGTATCGAACCGATCCGTGGAGACCAACATCATTTCATTTCATTTGTATTTGTTCCTTCATGGTATGCAGAACTTAATGGATAACAATTATCTACAGAACTTGTCTCTATAAACACACCGTACCTGAAAAGGAGCAGGGAGGAGAAAGTAATCTGATTTGACCTGCTCCTTTCTCAAAGAAATAATAAATAGAAATAGATGGTCTGTGCTTCATATGCTCTTTTTCTCAGCCAATCACAACGTGTCGTAGGACGATAATAATGTCGAGGCTCGTCAAGGGTTTTGATCAGGATGTTTTGTGGTTGTGGCTCCGCAGATTAGATGGTTTTCCACCAATCAGAGGGTCGACATGTCAAACTGTCCATGGGCAAAAACCTACATTTGAGTGAAGGGTTATCCCTCCTGACGACCAGGCGGCCCCTCAATGGGCTCTGCCGTTATGAGGACGTTTTGGTGAACTCTGGACTCGTGTAAAAGCAGTTTTTAGAGCTCAAACAGTCTCTAAATGTTCTGTATCACATGCATGTCCTACCTTTGGCCCCTGGATGCCCTCTCCTGGAGGCCCCATCAGGCCTGAAGGTCCACTTTGCCCCGTAGAGCCCTGAGGATACAACACATCACGGTACTTTAAATAAACAAGGCTTCATAAACTCATGATGAAATAGAGAGGGTTTTGAAACACACACTGACCTTGGGTCCATAGAGTCCAATCCCAGGAGGGCCTGATGGTCCTGGTACCCCCAACAAACCTCTGTCGCCCTGAAGAACAGACACAGATACACCAATATCATCTACAGCATTATACAAGTCTCTGTTTTAGTCTACCTATTTATCTTCTTGGACACATTTGAGTTTGTTCTATCAACAGTCTTTGGTACGATCGATCCACATGACGTGCTCTACATTCTGCTGCCACGTCCACATTTATGAAGAGGTGTTATGTTCGAAGAATCAAAATACCTTTATTCGTATTGAAACACTATTCGATAAAGAGCATGCACATACTATTACAAGAAGTTATTCCAATTTACAAGAAATATGTTGAGGCAGTCTCTAATCGGTGAATCATCTTCAGGTTTACGTTACGCTTCGTCTTTTCTAGAAAACTACAAAAAAAAACATGTTAACTTTCAAACTTCTGCTTTAAATATGAGGATACTGAAAGTTGAATAAAATACAATAATACAAATACAAAATAGTGCAAGAAGTCTTTATGCATGTAAATAGAATATGATATGTACAAGAACAGAATGTAAAATTAAATAATTAAGACAAAATTAAATATGGTTTATTGCGGTGATAAATATTTAGATAAATAAATAAATTGCAAGATGACGAACAGATGAATGTTTATCGAGGCACTTTACAGAGCTCGAGTTTTTACACTTTATTAGTTTAAAATGTAAACCTATTCTCCTTAATTTAACTTTCTCCATACAGTTTGTCCTCTGTTGTTAATACTTGATATTTGCTAACTCTGCTGCTCCATGCATTTCATACATGAAGCATATATATATATGTATATGAATCAATATATATATATATATATATATATATATATATATATATAGCGATTATATTCTGTGCTCACGTTACCTTCGGCCCAATGATTCCCAGACCGTGTTCTCCCACAGCTCCTGAAGGTCCCACAGGCCCCAGATCCCCCTGTTAGAGAACCATTAACTCTCATTAAAACTGCTTTCAGATATTTATATTCTCAGAGGAGGGAGAAGTACTCACATCCTGTACTTGAGTAAAGGTAGAAGTACTCACATCTTGTAGTAAAAGTAGAAGTACTCAGATCCTGTTCTTGAGTAAAAGTAGAAGTACTCAGATTCTGTACTTGAGTAAAAGTAGAAGTACTCAGATGGTGTACTTGAGTAAAAGTAGAAGTACTCAGATCCTGTACTTAAGTAAAAGTAGAAGTACTCAGATCCTGTTCTTGGGTAAAAGTAGAAGTACTCAGATCTTGTACTTGAGTAAAAGTAGAAGTACCAGAGTGTAGGAATACTCTGTTTCAGTAAAAGTCCTGCATTCAAAATGTTCCTCAAGTAAAAGTAGAAAAGTATTATCATCAAAATATAGTTAAAGTAGCGACAGTAAAAGTAGTCATTGTGCAGATTGGTCCATTTCAGAATAATATATATGATATGTTTTATAATGATTGATCATGAAAGTGTTCTCAAAGCTGGTAAAGGTGCAGCTAGTTTGAATGACTTTGTATACTGCAGGGTAGCTTGTGGATTTACTCCAGGTGGAACTAAAGTCTGATTTAACACTTGATTATATTTCACATCATTCATCCACATCTGTGAAGTAACTAAAGGGATTAAATACATGTAGTGGAGTAAAAGTACACAGTAGCATAACATTGAAATGCTCAAGTAAAGTAAAAGTACCTCTAAATTGTACTTATCCATCTAATAATAATAAATAATTGAAGCTCTTCTCACCACTAGGTGTCGCCCTCCCCAGTTCTGCCTCCTCCCTGTTCATTGAACCCAGAACACATCGCTCACTAATCACCAGAAAGACGTGATAACACACCGACACATGGATCAATATCATTTTATCTAAACTCATACACACAATCAATTATTTGTTGATTTATATTCTGTAATGTGAATCTTTAAAGTACCTTAAAGTGTCAGATAATTGAAGTGGAGTAGAAAGTCTTCTCCTTCCTCTCCACCTGATGTTCTTCCTGCCTCATTGTGTGTTGGAGCTTCAGAGCGTTACTGCTATGACCTTTCTTTGTGTCGCCAGCTTCATCTCCATTACTTACGCACTGAACTGTTTGTAATCTGTAAACTACAACATGTCTACCAGATGATGCCAATCCTCCACAATTACATTTATTGATCTTAATAGCCCTGCTGCATTCCTCATTCCACCATGGCACCACTTTCTTCCTACCCTTGGTTGTTGTTTTGGGTATACTGTTCTCTGCTGCATTTAGAATATGTTGCGTTATTTGGCTTGTAATGACCTCTATGCTTCCCTCTGATGTTAGCAGGTGTACCGACTCCTCACACCATATCCTACATTTCCCCCAATCAGCTTTAGCAAAGCACCACCTGGTTATTGCACCTCCTTCCTGTATATATACATTAGTATTCATTTTAGTAAGCACTGGATAATGGTCACTTCCTACTGTGGATTTATTCAAAACAAACCATTCGCATGTATGAACCAAACAGTTTGACACTAATGTCAGATCCAGGCATGATACTTTCCCCCTGTGTACATCTACTCTTGTGCCATGTCCATCATTAAGGCATACTAGTGTTCTTTCCTCCAGCATTTCTTCCACTATATTTCCGTTACTGTCTGTATGGTTGCTGCCCCATAGACTGTTGTGTGCATTGAAATCACCACACCAAACTTCCTTCCTATGTTTATTGCCTGCTATTTCTTTAAATATATCAGTGGTTAGATTTTTACATGGGTTGTATAAATTGATTATCCTAATGTTATCTTGTTTCCTAGGGTTGCAGATTTCCACTATAATACACTCTATATCATCAGGAGATTGCACCTCCCTATATGCCACACCATCTTTGAGAAACGTGGCACACCCTCCACCATTTTGATTATTATCTCTATCATGCCTTATACAGCTAAATCCTGGAATGACAAAGTCTAATTGAGGTCGTAACCAGGTTTCTTGCACACATATTACCTCAGGGACTACCTCTAGATCATATATATATTTCTTGAATTCTTGACCATTAGCTATGAGGCTTCTTGCGTTCCACTGTAGTATGTGCAGCACCATGATTAAGGATCTAACCCTCATCCTGATTTTCATTTTCCCCAGCTCCATTTATAGTTAGCATTGCATGTATCTGATCTGCTTTAATATCTTTCATGTCAAGGAATTTTCCAGCTGCCTCCACAATGGCTTTGATTCTATCACTTTTCTTTTTTAACTGCAATGCAACATTTACAGTATGGCATATAAATACCACAAAATTCACCTTTTTCACTCCTAAAACATCATCATCCTCTTTACTCTTGGTGGCGCTGTGGGGTTGGATTTGAAGATTACTTTTTGGTGTGTTCCTGACATTTTGTATTGTAATGCTCTGCTCCATTCCACTAGGGTTCTTATTGATTGTTACTGTTCCCCTTACTTTCTTTATTGCTTCTGCGTATGAAACTTTGTTTGTAATCTTAACTCTCTGCACCTCTCTGGCCTCTCTCTGCACTTCACAACCTCCAAACGCAGCACTGTGATCTCCTCCGCAGTTACAACATTTAACCTTTGCATCCTTTTCACATTTCCCATACTCATGTTTTCCTCCGCATCTCGCACACCTTAGCTGTCCTTTACACTGCTGCGCTGTGTGCCCCATTCGTTGACATGCGTAGCACCTGAGAGGTTTGGGGATGTACTCCCTAACCATGAAGTTCAAATATCCCATTTGTACTGCCTTAGGTAAGATTCTCTCAAACTGAATGAGAACTGATAATGTTTCTTTGAGTGTATCATCCCGTTTGCTTTTAAGCCTTGTGACTTCCACTATTTTGCCTCCTTTTAATTCACTTTTCACATCTTCCATTGACATGTCCAATGGTACTCCTGAGATTACTCCTCTCAGTTTCGCCATTGCTCCTGGAACATGCGCCTTCATTTTCTCCCCATTCAGTGAGTTCATTCCCAGAATCTTTTCCTGCTGCTGTTTGTTATTGGCATGTATCAATACCCGCTTATTGTTCATGAATTTAGCAAATTTAATTTTTCCAATCTCTTTTTCAATTGCTTTGGTAAGTTTAATCGGGTGGTAATGCCCACCATCCTGATTGAATTCTATTACCACTTTCCACTCGTGTTCTATTTCTTTATTCAACATTGCTTGACTGTCATTTTGACTGACTCTTGATTTTTTGTTTTGCTTAGCCTCGTCTGCTTCACCCGACCAATCCGACCAACTTCGAGCTCTTACTGAACTATCTCTGTCTCTCAAAGATCTTTTCTTCTTCGCAGCTTTGGCTATCATCCATTCCATATTGTTTCTTTGGCTACCATCTGAGCTGGTTGACATGATGAAACACTCAATGTACAGTTTATGCAAATCCGCCAAAATAACAGTCCAATGCTACCGTTTCTGTATGTATCCGAATTTCCGATTCTCTGTGAACTTTCTGCCACGCGTCTCCAACTTCACTTCCTTCTTCTTCGTCCCCACAGCCGTCCTTTCTGCAGAGCGGGATGTCAATGATGCCCCTTTCACACCAACGCAACTCCGGTTCAAGCTCCGTGCTAGAGCTTTTCTGGTTCAGAACCGGTTCTTCGGTTTAGCGCCGGCTCTTTTCACACCGCTCAGAGCCCGACTGGTGCTGCCGCTGCTGCGTCATGACGTCACAGTTTACGTCGCTGAGTTTCTCCCCAACGCCGGAGCTCACCTCACAACAACAACGGGCCGGGGACTGCGTTGCTTTTAATCATACGAAGCCAGATTAAATTAAATAACGACTTCTCCAACCTTATACTTTTCTCCAGAGTGCCATGGTTCATTGTTTATTAATGTGTTTCAGCGGCATTTACCGACCGCTGCAGTGCTGGCTGCTCTTCAACGGGAGTGTATTCTCCCGTTAGCTCCGGGTTAGCTCACACGGCTCTAAAGTATTCACTGTCTGACTGTCACACAAGCAGCTGATACATATCCCCAGTTCCCCTTAAGTGAATGTGTGTCAGTCTGAATTGACGCTGTTTGCCGTACTCGCCTTAAGTGTTAGCTCAGGTTAATCTCGCCCCCCTCCGACGTAAGCGTGACGTATGCGGTTCTTGCTTCTAGACGGACAACTTTTTGGTGCTCGAAACGAACCGGATTCCGGAGCTATGACGCTGCTCCGCTGCGGTGTGAACAGGAAAACCCGGTGCTTTTCAAGCACCAGCACCGAACCGGCCCTGAAACACCGTTGGTGTGAAAGGGGTATGAGAGAGACACACAGAAGGGAGGTAACACCAGCTCCGTCTGAGCCAATGAGAATTCAGTCTGAGCGTCGCGCCACTTGTTGCTCAGTGAATCTGGCTCACTCAGGTTGTGTATTGAAAGTGAAGGCAAGCCAAGTTTATTTATATAGCACATTTCAACACAAGGCAATTCTAAGTGCTTTACAAAAATGAAAGACATTAAGAGCATTAAGAAACATATTATGAATTGACATTTAAAAACACTCATTTAGAAGCAAAGACACATGAATAAAAGTGACAGTGCAGTGTGAGATACACACATCTGAAATGTTTAGCTCTGACTCTCAATCATTGCCAACTTTTAGCAGAAATAGTTTTCTATCACCTCCCTTTCTTCTACTTACTTCCTTGTATAACTTGTCTTTTAGTTATTTCAAATGTGTCATGCTAAATGAACCCCTCTTTGTGTGCCATTGACTTTAGAGTGAGTCATGTGAGAGTGTGTTATTTGACACAGACCTGTGTGCTATCAAAGCATCAGGTTCTTGGAGGAGAGGTCCACTACCAAGTCCATATCCATTGAATGATGTTCTGTATGTGTACGTATGTGAAGGTGTTGTGGTTCAGTTCAGCTCTCTGCACACATCAGGCCTTCTATCAGGACAAACTATATCATAAAACACAAGAGTTTCCATATCTGACCTCAGCGTTTGAAATGAAAGCAATAATGAATGAAAGCAAAGCAGAAAGAGAGTCAGAGAGCGTCTGAAACATCCGATCTGTGAACGCTGAGCAGTGCTTCTACCAGAGAAATGTAACACCTGTGTTGATGTTTGAACACCTGACGCTGTGTTTCACTTTGTTTCAGCACTGTTTCTACTTCAACCCTCAACAGGAATGAGAGCTGTACTCTCTCTCTTCCTGAAAGCAGCAGCTAATGATTGACAGGTGGTTTCTCTGAGCCCTGTGTTACTGTGTGTCTCTTCCCCTAACTGTCTGTCCCCAGGTGAGCCTCTCAGGTGATCCCAATCCCTCGCCTTCATCAAAGGCTGAGGAAAGCTGCAGCAGCTTCATGTCCTCTTCCTCCTGCTCTGCATGGATGTGTGTGATCAGTGTGTTGTCTCTGTGGGACACTTGGCACTCGTTGGGACTCGTGTTTTTTAACCGTCCTGTCGTGTTCGGGTCAAATCTGACTGATTTACATCAATCATAAATATTGTGTTTCACATGTGATGGCCTCCAGGCCTCATGATATCCTCCACAGTAGCATGTGAACATATCAAACTGCTGATCCACACTTTCATTGAGTTTTGAGAGGTTTAGTCAACTTTGTAACTCATAGGAGATGAATGGAGAACCCTAGATGATGTTCCTCCATCAGATACACAACCACATCAACAACCATGTTATCTGTTAGTCTATTCTTTGTTTACTCACTGCAGGTATTCATGTGAACCAGTAGAGACTTTGTTTACTGCTTAAAAAGGAGTTACATTTGGTGATGATAATGTTTTTTGTGTTAATGTAAGAGCAGTTGAAACAGACAGGAAGTGAGGAAGGAGAAAGGAACCTGACAGGAGGGTTCAGTGTTAGGAGCTCAGATCCATATCACTTTTTATATTGATTACTTTTTTATTTAGCCTTTAGTACGTTTTTTAAATTGGTTAGTGAGCCCTCTTTGCTTTTGAGTAATTCAAAGACATCTTGTGGTTTTGCAAATCAGTTTCCTCTTTGTTATTTAATCTCTTGTTCCCTCCCTAGACTATCAGGGAGCACCCTCACATCTTTACACTCACAGAGCAAAAACTAATATGTGTTGTTACAGAAAAGTAAAAACTACTTTCATCTTCTGAATGTGGTTCCTAGTTTTCTCAGAGCTCTGAATATGTATTATAATATTTGTCTTTCTTCGACTTACTCCTTATTACCTTTTGTTTAAACATGTTTAAATGCTTTTGTTTCCAAATTAAAGTGGACCTATCATACTATATTTGAATAATATAGTGTAGGACCATACCTATATAAGGCATATTTATACTTTTTTTTTTTCAAAATACCAAACAGATCATGCATTTTAGCCATGCCTCATTTCGCTCAATTTGACAATTTCTAGCTCTGTGTTTGTAGGGGCAGATTCAGTGAGAACAGCACCATCTACAGGCCTGGCATATGTACTACAGCGTCTCCAGCGCTTTCGAACGGCAATGGCCGTGGCGGTCTCCTCCTGATTGGTGGAGTTGGCCCAATAGCCGTAGCGCCACCGTCCTGACGTCAGGACAGTGTTCAAATCTGGATCAGTTTTTATCAGATCCGTTGCAGCCCCTTTTTTAGAGATTTGGGTATGGAGGAAAATAGAGAGGGTTGTGTTTTCTGACACTTGGTGAGTTCCCTGGAACACCGGGGACACATATTCATGTATAAAAGACGTACAAAAGTGCATTTTGGATGATAGGTCCCCTTTAAATAAAGAACCTTTAAAGAGCGAAATAATGCATTTAGAGAATTAAAGAAAAACATGACACAAAATAATGTTATAGAGTTTCAAAGGAAAAGGGCAGCTGCTCGAAGGACAATCAAATACACAAAAAAAAGAACATGGAGAGAATTTTGTTCTACCAATGGCAGAGGAGTAAAATTAGGTGATGTCTGGTCCATGTTTAAGCGGATGAGTGGGAAAAGGAAATCCATTAAAATTCCAGCTTTGGTTGATGGGGAGAGGCTGGCAGTGACAGATAAAGAGAAGGCAGACATGTTAGGAAGGACACTTGCAGCAGTACATAGCGGGGAACATCTCAGTGATATTCATAGGCAGCAAAAACAGCAGTTACTAGCAGAGAATGAAAACGTGAAGGAGAAGAGACAGGATAATAGGTCAGCTCTTGATGTGGAATTTACAATGTCAGAACTCAAAATAGCCTTACAAGGTACAGGTTATACAGCCCCAGGACAAGACCAGCTATGTTATGCTATGTTTAGACAGTTGCCTATGGAAACTATGACAATGGTGCTGAGTCTTTTCAATAAAATCTGGAGAGAAGGAGATATGCCAAGTTTGTGGAAAACAGCAGTCGTGCTACCATTCAATAAGCCAGGGAAAGATACAGCTAACCCTAGTAACTACAGACCAATAGCTCTTACATCACACCTATGTAAATGGATGGAAAAGATCATTGTCCGTAGGCTCTCACATGTACTGGAGCAGAAAGGGCTGCTGAGTAGTTTTCAGAGCGGATTTCGTAAAGGGCGGGTCCACAATAGATGCTTTAGTAAGAGTGAGTAATGATGTGGAAAAAACATTGAAAATGAAAGAGATAATGGCAATAGTGTACTTTGACATTGAAAAGGCGTATGACTGTATGTGGAGGGATGGGTTACTGATCAAATTGAGTAGAATGGGTATTGGAGGGAGAATGTACAATTGGGTAAGGGCCTTTTTAACAGACAGGACATTTAGAGTAAAGGTTGGAGCAGATATTTCCAACTATTTTGAAATAGAAAATGGTATCCCCCAAGGGAGTGCAGTCAGTCCAATATTATTTAACATCATGATCAATGATATATTTACATGTTTAGACACATGCATTCAATCGGCTCTATACGCAGATGATGGGGCTATTTGGATGAGGGGAAGAAATGCCCCATACGTAATGGAGAATATAGCTAGAGCGATTAAAAAAGTGGAGAGGTGGTCATATAACTGGGGATTCAAAATGTCAGAAAGCAAGTCATGCTACATGGTATTCACAAACAAACGCAAGATTGATGGCCAACAGCTAACACTATATGATCGTCCAATGACAAAGGTGAATGAGTTCAAATACCTAGGACTGTGGTTTGATAGCAAATATACATGGAAAATGCATATTAATCAAGTGGAAACAAAATGCAAAAAAGTATTAAATTTATTGCGAGCTGTAGCTGGATGCAACTGGGGCGCAGACAAACAAGCATTAATAGACATTTACAGATCAATTATGAGGTCCACAATAGATTATGGTTGTATAGTGTATGGAGCAGCAGCAAAAACATCGCTTTTAAAAATTGATAGAATACAATATAAAGCATTGCGGTTGTGTATTGGAGCGATAAAGTCATCCCCTATCAATGCAGTTCTGATAGAAGCAGGAGAGACACCTCTGGAGATCAGAAGAGAGAAACTTGCTCTGTCATACTGGGTCAGGCTACAAGGAAGTGGAGAAGGAAATATTTCAAACAGAATATTACAGGATTGCTGGGAATATGCAAAATTCCAGGGACGTGGGTTTGGCTGGACGAGTAAGGAGAGAACGAGGGCATATGGAGTGGACAATATCACGTTTGCTAAAGCAACCCCATTTAGCAGTGTTTCCTCCAGGGCTTTTCCCAGAAGCTAAAATAGATATGAGTATTGTAGAAAGGAAAAAAGAGTGGCAAGTAAATGAAGTGGGAATTAAAACAAGTATGTATCTGAATGAAAAGTATTACAATTGCCTACAAATTTACACAGATGGTTCTAAGAACAAGGAAGAGTGTGTTGGAATTGGTATATACATCCCAGAATTTAAAATATCTATTTCAAAAAGAGCGTCTGATCAATTATCAGTGTACACAGCAGAAATGCTGGCAGTAATAATAGGATTACAGTGGGTTGAAGAGGTCAGACCAGATAGGGTGGTGATGTGCACAGATTCATTGTCCATATTACAAAGCATACAATCAACAACAACTGCCAGAGAAGACATTCTCATAGAACTGAATCATAGCCTGTTAAGATTGCACAGAGGCGGCATAGATCTGCAGTTCTGCTGGGTGCCTGCACATGAGGGGGGTGAAAGGGAACGAGTGTGCTGATAAATTAGCAAAAAGTGCACTACAAAAGGAAATAACATTACCAGTTCAACTTGGAAAAGGAGAAGGAAAAGCAGTAATTAAGAAGAAAGGGATGGAGATCTGGCAGAAAAGGTGGGAGAAAGACCAGAAAGGCAAAGAATATCACAAAGTACAAAAGACAATTACAATTCATATTTATAAAGAAAGAAACAGAAGGGAGGAAATCATGATAGCTAGGCTCAGAATAAATCACACAGCATTGAATGGTACGCTGTATGTCATGGGGAAAAGTGACAGTGACAAGTGTGGGAACTGTGGAGTAAAAGAAGATGTAGAACATATCTTGATACATTGTGACATATATAAAGCGGAAAGAGAAAAACTAAAGGCTAAAGTTTTAGAGGCAGAGAGGGAATGGAGTGTGGTTGGTATTTTGGGAACAAAAGGAGAGGGAGTAAGAGCTACCAGAAAGGCACTGTTTACATTCTTGAGTGAAACTGGGGTAGGAAAAAGAATTTAACATTAGGTCAAGAAAGAACATAGATTTTTATTTTTGTTTTATTTATTTCATGTTTTGTTTTTTGTTTTTTGTTGTACCTTTTAAGTTGTTTGCAATCCGCCAAAAAACGAAGAGAAGAAGAAGAAGAAGGACGGCTGTGTTTCTGTGGATAAAGAACCTTTCACACAGAAAGCCTCGTGAGATCAACATGAAGATGTTGCTGTTTCTGCTTCTCCTGGGAATAGTAGGCCCACACTGCACATCTGCACGTGAGTCTTTTGATTCTTTGCGTTGGAAAATAAGAAATGCTTCATGTGTTTACAGCAGGGCTTCTCAAACTCCGGACCAAGGTCTGGATCCGGACCGAACTGCAAATCAATCCGGACCGAACCCTGTGTCGCATTATAAAAAAAATAAATAAATTATAAAAAAAAAAAAAAAAAAAAAGAATTCTGATTCTGATAAATTAATGTACATCAGGGGTTTTCAAAGTGTGGGAAGGTGAGCCTCCCCTCAGAGAACATAAGAACAGCCGCGCCCCCCCCTCCCAATTATTATTGCTATTATTATTATTATCATTGTTGTTGTTGCTATAATGCAGGGGTATTCAATTGCATTTCAAAGAGGTCCAGTAAGATAAAATGAAGACTGTTTCTCTCCTCTTGTCTCGTCTCTGTGTGTGTGTTTGAATCTATCGTGCTGGCTCACTGACTGCACCGATTTGATTGGCTGAGTAGCGTCACCCTCCTTAAAACATTAAACAATAACTTTTTTAAACCTTTTTTATCTTTATGTTTTAAACATATTGTATACAACTCCCCCACTACTTGGACTATTCCTTGCACCCCTCTAGAATAAGCCCAAATGGTCTCAACCATATTGCATCAGTAATAACGTGCACTTTGTTGTTATCGTTATAACAAGATCGCAAGGACAGTGGTAGCGATCGGACAATTGAGTGTTGTTCAGTTTGTGTGTTGTGGAACATGCGTGTCCGTGCATGAAAATATACCACACACCCAATTACAATAGCATGTTCAATTCACTACCCTGGAAGTTAATAAAGTTGTTAAAGTTGGAACAGCCTGTGGACAGCCGTTCTTCCTTGCATGTCAGTCGCCGACACCTTCTTACAGAGGACAGGCAAATCTAGCTGCAGCACGACCCGTATATTTTCGCACGCCGTGTTCTCAACACATATTTTTAAAACATTTTTAACATTTTCAACATCGTGGATAAATCCTTATATGCTCCCGGCAACACACTGAACGTCAATTTTGCCTCCTTATTACACTCATCCCTACTTTAGTGGGAACAATGAGTCTGCGTCTTTGATGCACACAGGAATAAACGCAGATCATACTCTGCACTTGATTTTGATCAAAGTCCATGCGGAAAACCCGCACTCACACAGGTAGGTGGAGATGAAGGGAATGAGCACTTTTACAGCCTTTTTGGCGAAGTGGGGGAACTCGGTCTCCACAGACAGCCAAAAGTGGGCAAGTGTCACTTTTCTCATCTTTTCTCGTTATTTTTTTTCTCACGCTGCGCCTCCCCTGAAGCTCTCTGGCGCCCCCCAGGGGAGGCGCGCCTCACACTTTGAAAACCGCTGATGTACATCATCATGTACGCGCGTCTTGTGTCTGACGCGTTGTGAGAATGAACGTGCATATATATTTACTTGTGTGCGCGAGCGTGACACGCATAGCAGACCGCAAATTAACCGCAAGTTTACCTTGACATACTGTATGTATGTATTGAAGGTGTGTGTGTATACAGGGGCGCCGTTTACCGACAGGCAAGACAGGCAAGGCAGGCAAGTGCTTGGACCAGAAGGGGGCTCCCAAAGAAGGTAGATTAAGAAGGTCCACAGCAACGACAACATGAAACACCCTTTAATTTACTGCAACGACATGTCGGGCATTGATCCGGACCAGTGACCTTGTATAAAGTTCACAACTGGACCTTTAATAAAAAAGTTTGAGTACCCCTGAGTTGAGGTACACCTACCCGAGGTAGAACAAAGCACAACCATGTTTTTTCATTACTTTAATACGTCTAGTTTATGAAACGGATTGTTGTATAAAAATATTTCACAGCAAAATTATTTGTTTTGGTTAATGTTTGGAACTTTCCCATAACCGAAAATAGTGAAAATGTGCACTCCTCTGAAGGGGGCCGTGTTGGCCTTATCACATGTATCCCTGGAAATAATGATCAGAATTTCACCAAATTTGGCCTAAATGTTCACAGAGAGGTAATGCATACCAGATTGCAAAGATTATAGCAATACCTTTTACCTTTTTTGTAATATTAACACTTACACACACATAATTCATATGCCGAAATGGAATAGGACATTTAAAATGCAAAAGGTATGTTTATGCTTTTCTGTCATTTTTAAACTAAAGAGTCCAATCACCCAAAACTGATGAAAGATTGCGTTTCGGGTTCAAAAATGTTTTTGATATAGTTGTATATGGGAGGATAACATGATGTAGTAATGTACTAACAAGACAACATGTTAACTTTTGGTTTCACATGAGGATAATTCATGTTTATTTGTCTGCATTATTTTGTGTTTTATTCTTTTTTTATTTTGAATGCATTATTTGTATTCCATACATTTAGGCTATATAACACACATACAAAATACAAAGCACCCCAGTGTATATATACATACTCTATATAACATATATCATTCATTTAAGATTTGATTTATCCAATCTAATAATTGAAAATGTTTATTTAAATCATGTGAACATATTATGCCAAGAAACCTGTTAGCTCATGGGATCACAGTATCTACAGTATCAACTGTTATTAAAAGATTATGTAAAATACAAACAAAAACTGTGTTTGGAATAGAAAAGTTTGATGTATAAAGCATATATATAATAATGATTATAATAAAAAACATTATTATATATAATATGTTTTGATCTCTTAATCTATGCGTTGAGTCCTTCCCTTCACACAGGTACACCCACAGGGCCCCATTCTGACGGCCATTTTGGCTGCACTGGTTAGCTGTTAGAGGCTGGTGACAGCAGAGGGGGAAGTGAATAGTCAAAAAAAACTATTTTTATGAAAAGATAAGAGTCTCTGGTACATATAAATGACATTTTTGGGTGATTGGACTCTTTAGTTTAAAAATGACAGAAAAGCATAAACATACCTTTTGCTTTTTAAATATCCTATTCCATTTCCGCCTATGATTTATGTGTGTTTAAGTGTTAATAATACAAAGTACGTAAAAGGTATTGCTATAATCTTTGCTTTATTGTATGCTTACCTCTCTGTGAACATTTAGGCCAAATTTGGTGAAATTCTGATAATTATTTCCAGAGATACATGGGATAAGGGCAACACGGCTCCCTTCAGAGGAGCGCACATTTTTCGTTTCATAAACTAGACAAATTAAAGTAATGAAAAAACATGGTTGTGCTTTGTTCTACCTCGGGTAGGGGTATCTCAATAACTAAAGCCTTTTTGGGGGGTTTGTTCCTCTACTGTTATGGGCTGTGTGAGTTTAAAGTGTGTCTTAAATGGTGGTACATGGTGTACTTTGACTCCACTATATGTATTTAATACTTACAGATCTGGTAACTACTGTAGTTCTTTTTAAATCTGAATGTGGGAGATAAACATTGTTTGGAGATTTATAGTGACTGAAGTTATTACATTATTATTATCCTACAGGGACTCACTCTCTGAAGTATTTCGACACTGCGTCCTCTGGAGTCCCAAACTTACCAGAGTTTGTTAGTGTTGGGTTGGTTGATGAGGTTCAGATAACTCACTACGACAGCAACACCAAGAGATACGAACCCAAACAGGACTGGATGAACAACATCACAGCAGAGGATCCTCAGTACTGGGAGAGGAACACTCAGATCTCTCTGAGTAACCAGCAGGTCTTCAAAAACAACATTGAAACTGCAAAGCAGCGCTTCAACCAAACTGGAGGTTAGTTCATGTTTCACCTTCTACTGATAATATATTGTTTATATCTTCATCCTGTACACACACACACACACACACACACACACACACACACACACACACACACACACACACACACACACACACACACACACACACACACACACACACACACACACACACACACACACACACACACACACACACACACACACACACAGACAGTGTCTCTGTCCATCCCATAATAACCACCAGAGGTCACTTTATTCTCTACATGAGACTAACTCTACTTGTAGTGACTAAAGTTAATTAAATAAAGTCATTCAGAGAATAAACTCGGCTAACGACACGTTCAGGAAACAGTCTGTGCTGAAGTTCTGTTTCATAATGATGTTGTTAGAAAAAGGGATTTATTTCTAATTAATTAAAAAGACTCTGAATGACTCTCTCTCTCTATCTCTCTCTGTCTCTCTCTCTCTCTCTGCTCTCTCTCTCTCTCTCTCTCTCTCTCTCTCTCTCTCTCTCTCTCTCTCTCTCTCTCTCTCTCTCTCTCTCTCTCTCAGGTGTCCACATTGTCCAGAGGATGATAGGCTGTGATTGGGATGATGAGACTGGTGAGGTCAAAGGTTATCTACACCATGGTTTTGATGGAGAAGACTTCCTGATACTGGACCTGGAGACAGAGTCATGGATCGCTCCAAGACGAGAGGCTGTCCTCACCAAACAGAGGTTGGATAAGGACAAAGCTTTGATGGCAAACCTCAAGAACTACTTCACCCAGGTCTGTCCTGAGTATCTGAAGAAGTTTATGAACAATGGGAGGAGCTTCCTGATGAGAACAGGTAGAGTCACATGACCTGATGGAGTTTCATAAACACCTCCATGTTCATGTCTCCTGTGTTTCTGACATTACAACACATGTCTCACTCTGTGTCTCACTCTGTGTCTCACACACTGTCTCACTCTCTGTCTCACTGTGTCTCACACACTGTCTCACTGTGTCTCACTGTGTCTCACACACTGTCTCACTGTGTCTCTCTGTGTCTCACTCTGTGCCTCACACTGTGTCTCACTCTGTCTCTCACACTGTCTCACTCTGTCTCACTCTTTGTCTCACACTGTCTCACTCTGTCTCACTCTGTCTCACTCTTTGTCACACACTGTCTCACTCTGTAAGTAAGTAAGTAAGTAAAACTTTATTTATATAGCACCCTTCTCAACACGAATGTACAAAGTGCTTTACAGTACAGTACACAATTCACAGTACAACTAAAATGTAGAATAAAAGGCATAAAAAGGCATAAAACAACAGCAGGTAATACATAGGATAAAACATACGATAAAACACCAATAAAAGACAGCTACTAACTCACCTCCTCCGATGCCCCAAAGGCCTGACGGAAGAGGTGGGTCTTTAACTGCCCCTTAAAAATCTCTACTGAGGCAGAGGCTCTTAGTGTCTGGGGGAGTTTGTTCCAAAGCCTTGGGGCCACCACCTCAAAGGCACGGTCCCCCTTGGTTTTTAGCCTGGTTCGGGGCACCCTTAGGAGGCCTTGCTCAGAGGACCTCAGGGCCCGGGTTGTGCTATGAGGGAGGATCAGGTCATTAATGTAGGCTGGGGCTTGGCCATGGACAGCTCTATATGTGAAAACCAATACCTTGAATTGGGTTCTGAGATGGACAGGGAGCCAGTGCAGGGCAGAAAGAATCGGGGTGATGTGGCATGTTTTTTTGGACCGAGTGAGCAATCTGGCTGCAGCATTTTGGACCTGTTGTAACCGGTTTATTGATGTTTTGTTGAGGCAGGAGAACAGAGCATTACAGTAATCCAGCCGGGATGAAATAAAGGCATGAATAGCCATCTCCATTTCTGTGTTTGATAGAACCCCCCTGAGCTTGGCAATGTTGCTGAGATGGAAAAAACAGGTACGGGTCAGAAGTTTTATGTGTTTGTCTAGTAGCATAGACTGATCGAAAGTTACACCAAGGTTTTTGATGTTTGCCCTTATGTTACCACTGAAAGAACCCAGGTGGCTTGCTACCTTAGAGGCGATGTTATCAGCCGCTAAGATCAAGACTTCCGTTTTTGAAGCATTGAGCTGTAGGAAGTTGCTTGACATCCAATCCTCAATTGCAGACAGACATGTGATGAGAGTGTTTACAATTTCCATTTTGACGGGTTTGAAAGAGATGTATATCTGGATGTCATCTGCATAACAGTGATATGAGACACCCTTGAATTGGCTAATTATGCAGCCCAATGGGAGCATGTACAGGGCAAAAAGAAGGGGGGCTAAAACAGAACCCTGGGGCAGGCCGCAGGATAGGGGAGTGCTGTGTGATGAGAACGGGCCCACCGCCACGGAGAAACTTCTCCCACTGAGGTACGAGGCAAACCACTGGAGGGCAGACCCTGAGATGCCTACCCACTCCCTGAGTCTATCTAGCATGATGGCGTGGTCCACTGTGTCAAACGCTGCACTCAGGTCCAACAACACCAGAACCACGCAATCACCTGCATCCGATGCCATCATGATGTCGTTGGAGACCCTGAGGAGAGCTGATTCTGTGGAGTGGTGTTTTCTGAAACCTGATTGGAATTTGTCATGGATTTTATTATCATTCAGAAATGTATTGAGTTGGTTAGCAACAACTTTTTCTAAAACTTTTGACACAAATGGGAGCTTTGAGATGGGCCTGTAATTATTCGGGAGTGAGGGATCTAGATTGGGTTTTTTGAGAATGGGCTGAACAACCGCCTGCTTAAAGAATGATGGGACGGAGCCGGAGACAATGGAGATGTTTATAATGTGGAGCAGGGGTGGAGCGACACATGAAAAAACTTCTTTTAGCATAGACGTTGGTAAGGCATCCAGAGGGCTTGAGGAAGATTTCATAGTGCTCACTACAGCGGTCAGGTCGGCTATAGTGATGCAGGAGAAATTACTCAGCGTGGCCTACCTAACTGGACAGATAGGGAGGGGGGAGTGGGAGGGGTTGATGCTCGACCTCACATCAGCTACCTTGTTTATAAAAAAGGTGAGAAAACCTGTCTCTCACTCACTCACTCTGTTTTCTTTCTCTGCTGCATTTCTTTTTATTTGACCAGTGTTTCTGTCTTTCAAGGTGAACTTCTGAATCACATATTTTGTCTGACTAACACTGAACAGTTTCAGATTAGTAAAACATTAGACTCCTCTACAAACAAAGGTATTATTCTGGGATATGGAGACAGAAGACACCATTTCATCTTCACATGATGAAACAGGCGTAGTGTGAGCATCGTGTAATAAATCTGAATATGTTGGTGTGTAGCTGTCCGTGTTTCATCGTACGCAGCCTTTCTGTCTGGAAAGGATTTAAGACCAAAATACTGTTATTTAAAAAAACTGGAACTATAAAAAGTTTGGCATATTTCTTTAATAAAGAACTTAAACTGTTATTTTATAATCAGACGTGTTGGAATTAACTTTCTTTTGATCAACTATTCAGTGAATGGTACTATAGCACTACACAGTACAGTGGAGATAAATCAAACTTAATATTCTTGTCAGTATAGATTAAGTAATGACTATTTTTCAGATGAATAAATGAATTGTTTACACATTTGAATGTCAAGAAATAGAAACAAATCTTAATTTCAAAACTCTAAGAGGAAATATTCAACGTGCTTCTTTAATCTGAACAACACTAAACAGTATTTGATATTAAATTATATAAAAGTGAGAAGAAAGTCTTTATTTAACCAATTTCTCTGAAACACTGACTCTGTGTTCTCCTTCAGTGATGCTCACAGTACATCATAACTCCCTGTAGTGATATCACTGTGAGTCAATAACCTCTAAAGTGTGTTTGTGCAGAGATCCCCTCAGTGTCTCTGCTCCAGAAGTCCCCCTCCTCTCCAGTCAGCTGCCACGCTACAGGTTTGTACCCGGACAGAGCCATCATGTTCTGGACCAGAGACGGAGAGGAGATTTACGACAACGTGGACCACGGAGAGATCCTGCCCAACCACGACGGATCCTTCCAGATGAGCGTGGACCTGAACGTCTCCTCAATCCCCGCTGAACACTGGGCCAAGTACCGATGTGTGTTCCAGCTCTCTGGGGTGGCGGAGGACCACGTCATCGTACTGGACTCAGCTGTGATCAGGACCAACAGAGGTAAGACTGCATCACAACGGCTCAATGGTTACTTATGGCGCATTTCCACCATGGCGCAGAGCGCGGTTTAAGTGTGCCGTGTCGTGCCGGGCCCGTTTTTGGTTGCGTTTCCACTAGGCCTAGTTTCGGCCCGGGGCTACTTTTTCACCTTTTTTCTGGCCCGACAAAATCGTGGTTCTATCTGGGCCAACAAGCGGGCCAACAACCGGGCTGAATATACTAAACTAGTGAGAGAATCGCTGGCAAGGGGGCTACAACTACAACAAAATGAACATATTTGACCGTGATTTAATTGTAATACACGTTTCAAAATGATGCCGAAGTAACAACATACTGATACCGGTTAGTAAAAACCATGAATTAATGCTTTGTCAAGTCTGCAGACAGACGGCAGGCGAAACACCTTTTACAATGCGTGTTTTCTGAATGGAGATTGGCTAAGCTAACGCAGTATATGCTCCGACCGTCCACACTCACAACAACGGCCTACAGACATAAATAAAGCAGCGACTGTATTCACCATGACACAGGCAGTCTGTGGTTTGTACTTGTTTAACTTTTGTCGAGTTTCTGAACAGATATGAGGAGCTGTGAGCTCTGAGTGCTAACAGCTAACGGCTGTGTTGTTTTTCTGAAGATGACGTCACGGCTCCGCCTACACTGCGTTACTATAGATACTACCCCAGTTCCTAAACTGTAATGGAAGCGCAGCATAAAGTGAGCCGGACCCTAACAAGGCCTAACAAGGCCTAACAAAACCATACTAAGTCGAGCGAGGCCTGCGGTGGAAATGCGCCATAACAGTCAACCAGCGACGTGCAGTCAGTGGAGGCAGGGGAGGCAGAGCCTCACCAGTCATACTCCAATGTAACGGAAAAACAACTAAAGAAAAACGAAATAGTAATAATAATAAAATGTCTCCACTGATCTGTGTTGTAAGTGTGATTTATGTATGATTCTAATCGCTTTTTATAGTCAAAATCAGCAAATTTGCCGAGCTCCGCTACGGGAGCGATGAGAAGTGAGGCAGGGGCGTGCTCTGCCTCTCGTAAGCCCACAGTAACTTGCTGGAGCGCGGGCACTAATGTAGCGCGGGCACTTATTTTGTGAGCGCGCTCAAGCCATTTACTGTGGGCTGAGGTGAGGCACAGATGAGATCTGCCTCACCTCAGAATGCGTCACCCCACAGAAACTGGCTGGAAAGCGGGCCCTAAGCGCATGCCTGTTACCATCTCACTGTAGGTCACCAATGTAATGTATGTAGATCCCTTTATTACATTTATCCTCGCCATCCATAGTCTCTAAATAACTTATTTCACGTATATATGATATTTAGGCTCGCTGCTCTCAACGGCAATGAAAATGCACCAGGGGAGGCAGCCATAACCTCTGCCGCACTGAAGGGGGCGCACGTGAGCCCACAGGTTCTTGTTGCTACTGTAATTCTACGCAGAGACGGTAGACGTAACAACAAACTAGACTTTTGAAACTAGAGGGAGATAAGGAGGACTTTTACAAAAAAGTAATAGAGATTGTTGTCCAGAAGGATAGCATGGACTTCATCTTCAAGTCAAGGTAAGACCACATTTGTAATGAAAATGGGATCTTACTAAGAAAGAACAATCCAATATTTAGATTTTGGGTATCCTTTTGTTGAACGGTCTGTTTAAAATGAATCGAAGCATCAGACTAAAAAAGCTTTTGAAAATAACCGAATATTTCGATTAAGGTCAAAATATAATATTTGTAAATCTGACTCAGTGCCTCACCAGCCATGAACCTCACCGCACGTCACTGCAGTCAACAGACCCTGTGTGATTGTAGTAATGTGTTTTTATTACATGTACAGCACTTTGGCTCGACCAAAAATCGCTTTTAAATGTGCTATATAAATAAAACCTGATTTGATTTGATTCAACAAACCCTGACAACATTTCATAGTTTCCCTCCCCTGAAACCAGGGTTGCCAACTCTCACGCATCTGGCGTGTGACACACGCTTTCACTCTCAACCTCACGCTCTCACGCTGCCCAAACTATTCTCACGCCAAAAACAAGAATACTGAAGATTAGAAACGGTTTTGAAAACTTTTGTCACGTAGTGATCGTCTTCTCAATAAAACATCTTTGATAATGTCTTCTGGCCAATCAGAATCACGATAACGGCGTGGTGTTGTTGCAGGAAGTCCCGACGGAGAATACTTTTGCTGTAGTACATCTCTATACAACATTACGTGTTGATAGAATTCAACACGTAATGAAATAAGACCCCACGGTTTGATGATTGATAGGTGTGTGGGCTGTCTTTCATTTTGACACACAGAACAATGGGGGCTATCCACCCTTATCCACAATGTAAAGTAATTCACACAGCCTCTTCCCTCTTCTCTCTGTGAGGAGTAGTGATGGGAATTATGGCTCTTTGAAGGGAGCCGGATCTTATGGCTCCGTTCCTTTCAAAGAGCCGTTCAAAAGAGCCGTTCAAAAGAGCCGTTTTTTTAAAAAGGGGGCGGGGTTACTAGGTTTATCTGCGAAATAATCACCAGGATAATGATTGACTGCATTGCCAGACCTAATGTCAATAATCTGCATTGTAAACATGACACAAGGTGGCGCCATATCCATGTCATTCATGTCAGTGAATGTACTTTGAATTTACCCTCTGCATGTGTTAAGTAAATAAAGTTGCCTTGCCTTGAATGAAATTCACGCAACTCTTAATATTAGTAGTGTGTTTTTAAGTGGCGATGGAGATTATTTGTTGACCCTGCTTTAAAGGATATTTTGCCTTTACAAATGGTGCGCTTTATTACTGCCTGGGTTTTGGTTGAAGTGCATCCAAATGCTGCTGCGTTTTCGCGTTTGGCTCATTTTACATCCGAAAAACACGTCGTCTATCTGTCCAGTACCACTTGTTATGACTTCTCTCTCTCGCGTATTCCGTTAAGACCCACCCCACCTAACTCCTCGTGCTGAAACCTACAAATCAGAGTAGGGGCGGGTCTTCACAGAATACGTTTGGGGAACAAAATCAAGCTTTTTAAAAGGCGAGTGAATTTTGGCAGGCAGTGAGTGCGGACCAACTTTGATTGAACGATAAGAAGAACGGCTCTCACCAAGTACGACTCGGTTCCCCTCGTTCGTACCAAAGAGCCGTTCAAAAGAATCGGCTCGTTCGCGACCGACACATCACTAGTGAGGAGCAGCAGGTTCAGCTTTCAGAACAAAGTAACACAAAACTAAAATGGCATTAATTTTTTTAAATATGTCGTGTAGTAATAGATTTATTTATTTTTCTTCTCAAGAGAGTACCAGAATGTGTATTTTATGTTAGTATTTAAAAAACTCCTGGGGGAGAATCCCCCCAGACCCCCCTGCAGGGCTTGGGTTTTCAGCATGTCAACTCTTTCATCTGTGGGGAAATTGCAGGATTGGCTCCAGGTCGCCCTTTTTATTTACTACAAGACAAATGTGCCTTTTTATTTCATACATTTCAATTTGGATTGAGACAGGGAAATAATCTAAACCTCACGCGTGGCGTTTCACTGTCGGGGGGAGCGTGTATGTAATTACATTGCAAATACTGACTTGAGCCCCACCACTGTATGGGTTAGCCCTACCATAGATTACCCAACAAAAATACTCTGGAGCCGCAACTGCGGACCCGTATTGCGCATGCGCAGATCTAAGATCCAGTAGAAATGATAAAAAGTAAAAGTCTGCTGCTTATTGTTCTACTAGGCCAAAATAGAGTCAAAGAGTATATGAGAGTGAGAGTGTGTTAATGAATATATTTGGCAGTTTGGAGTAATTCTGTAGATTTGTTTGTGTGTGTGTGTTTCATGTATAGGCCTCTCACGATAATTAATTTTGTTGGATACATTTTCCCGGAAATTATTGCGATAAACGATAATATTGTCGGCACCGTTGTATGACCATTTTAGACCACTGACATAATGATAATATATAATAATTAGGGCTGTCAAGTTAACGCGTTAATAACGCGTTAACGCAAAAAAAAATTAACGCCACTAATTATTTTAACGCGATTAACGCATGTGTATTTTTTGTCCTCGGCCGCCGTAGTTTCAGAGCGCATCGAGTGTAAAATACCATCGACAAGCTGATGCTGACAGCCCCGCTCCTGCCACCCGCTTGTGGCAGACCACACTACCACGCTCACTGGCAGGCCCGGACTGGCCATCGGGAGGACCGGGAAGGAGTGTGTATGTGTGGCGCGACTCGCGCGAGCGAGGCACACCTTACGTGTTGTTGTTGTTGTTAGCATCTGGTGCTAGCTAGCTGCGCTGACGGATATAAGGAGCTGTTTCAATGACATTTCGCCGACAACTGCGCCGAGCACTTGACTTTATGCAGGTAGCCAGACAGTGGGACATTGTACGAAAAGTCAGCACAGTCAGCACGGATAGTGCGCGCAACATGATTGCAGCGTCCAGGCAGCTCCCATTCGAGCATATATGCCTTGAGCTGCACATAGCTCCATAGATCCATCACAGTGTCTCCACACACACACACACACACACACACACACACACACACACACACACACACACACACACACACACACACTGTATTATTGTATGAGAGAGGTTCCAGGTTGAATTGAGGCGAATATTTGTAATGTTCAGGTTGTTGTGTTTAATATTCATGAGAATATTTGTCATTGTTCAAATGATAATAAACAAACATATAAAGCATATGTGTCCACTCATATGTTGATAAGAGTATGAAAAACTTGAAAGATATCCCTCTAAGGTACATTTAGAACAGATAAAAAATGTGCGATTAATTTGCGATTAATCGCGATTAACTATGGACAATCATGCGATTAATCGCGATTAAATATTTTAATCGACTGACAGCCCTAATAATAATAATTCAAGTACATCCTTTCAAACTGCTAGTCACATCCTCATGTAAATGGCAATTTATCGAGGTCAGAAAAGTTATCGAGTTCATTTTTATTTATCGTACGATAAGTCAATTAATTGCTTATCGCGACAGGCACACAATAAAACAGTGGAAACAAACATGTTTGACTTTCATTAGTGAATGAAACTGTGTGCCCTTTATAGTCTGTGTCCATTATTGTGTATTTGAATATATTGTATATATATCCTATATATATGCTAAGGTCCCGCTGCTGACACGATAGCAGTCATTTCGTGCGCATATGTGTAATTAAACCCATGATATCAAAATCTCACTCCAGCCAGGTACCCAAAGTTGGCAACCCTGTTGCTGAAACATGGGTGGCTGCTCTCTTCATCGCTCTCCTCGTCGCTGGGATTGGATTCCTGGTTTACAGGAAGAGGAACGGTGAGAGACCAATCAGAAACCTTGTCTCATGAGTTCTCAGGGTTGTTAATGTAAGGCTTTGAGGTAGCAGATCAAACTCAGAGCTCAGTGTAATGTGGATATGGAAAGCACTTGGTGTGTTTTCTACAGGGATAATCAGTGTGGTCTAGTTCCTTGTTGTGGCGGTGGATTGAAACACTTTCTCTGCTTTTCCTTTCAGCCAATAGAAACAACTTCCGCCAGCTCTGAGCTCACTGAGAGACTGAACCAGCCGGCACAGTGAGGGGCTTCACATCAACTCTCCACCTGTTGCATCAGAGCTCTTTCTCTGCTCTCAAACCTCTCCAGCTGCAGCTTTAGAGTTCAAACCCTTCTGCAGAGTGACCTCAGAAAGGCACGATGCTTTCAGAAACACAAATATTAGAAAATCAATGACATCAGTTCAATAAAATAGTGTAACACCAATTAGAAACATTGACCTGTACATCAGAAGCAGATCAGAGAAGTGACTCATGTTCTGTTCTGTGTCTTTAGGGTCATGCATCAGGGGGCGCTGCCACCACATTCTCCCCGTAAACTGTTCATTATTCATCATCTGATCAATAACTGATCATCTGATCAATAACTGATCATATTAGGGTTTGGAAATCAAGCAATAGCTCATTGATTGGAAAACAAAGGAATCATGTTATTTGGATCATGTGGGTTTCACATCAAAAGGTGGCTTTCCCTCTGATTATGGATTTCAATCTAATTCTAAGAGAAGCTAAACCTCTATGTGGTTTCTGGTAAAAAAATCAATATTAAGTAAGAGATTTAAATATGAGAGGCCGTCTAGCTCACAACTCATACTTGGTCTTACAAACCATATCAGAATCTCACATGTACACCACCAGACTCTTTCACACACAGCATCATACCGTCTTTAACGCACTGTCATTCCTTCCTTCATTTACTATCATACTATCATACATAAATAACTATTCTCTCTCACACACAAAAACAAAATCTCTTAAACGCACCATCATACTCTCGTACACACGCCACTATCGTCTTTCACAAACAACTATAATCTAATAGAACATTATAATAGTGTATGTGAAAGAGGATAGTAGTATGTGTGTAATCGGTAAACAATGTATGTAAGACAGAATAATAACCTATATAAGAGGGAATAGTATTTCATGTTAATAACAATAGTCATATTGTGGAGTCTATTTGTATATAACATTACAAGAGGGATTCTTATTATTACATGATATGCTTATTGTGCTCATGAGATTGCTATGACTATCAAATAAATAGAAACGATCACTAATCTCAGGTTCTGATGGGTTAGATACCAACGAAGAGAATAGTCAGAAGAAAGTTTTCAGCTTGCAATACTAATGTAGCAAGGTCAGGTGCAGACACTGGAAGAATACAAAGAGTTATTCATAAACAGGACATCACTCCGGCCTTGAGCTTTGGGTGAGCTCCGTTCCCACACATAGCAGCCTTATGAAGATTCCACTTTTTCTATAGAAATGTTAGCGAAAACAAATTACGTATGATGGTGCCAGAGTAGGGAGGGACTTCCACAGGCCGGCCGAATGCTGATTGGAGGATCGTGTTGCCAAGAGACTTTTTTCAAAGTCTGTGTATCTACCAAAGAGAACCAAGTCTAAACCACGGTACCTCTTCAGCTAGTCTTGACCAATCATAAATGTACGGGCAACGCCCTGTTTAATAAAAATGTATGCACGCACGAGGTTTGGGGCTCTTTTCCGGAAATAGTGGTTACAGATTACAGCTTTGCTGCCTGTCATTTCTATGACGTGACGGAGCCCTTGGCTAAGTGAATATATATATTTTGCTTTCTCATAATAAATAGTTAAACTTACAAGTTGTCTGTCTTTCCTGGAATTTTGAACACAACAATATATGTAAAACAGAATAGCAGTGAATGAAAGGCCGAATAATAGCTTATATAAGAGGTAATAATAGTTAATGTGAATGACTATATAGGTATGTGTATAAAACAGAATGATAGGGTGTGTGCATAAGAATAGTTATGAGTGTGAGAGAGTATGATTGAAAAGGAAGTGAGTTTGATTGAAAAGGAAGTTGGACTAAATTCTCAGTTCCTGATTGGCTCTACGTTTTTCGTAAGGCAGTAGACTGCTACTAATTGTCCCTATGCAACCTGAAGAGTAAAAGGGTCAAGGCCGTCAGAAAGCAATGACTGTAAGTGTGAGCCTGACACTTACCCCGGACACACCAAGCCGATTTTGGCCGTCGATGGATGTCAGGCCGACGATGAGCGTCCTGTCGCCCTACTCAGATTGGTGTGTCCCGCACCGTCGTGTCTTTTCGGCCGTGACGACACCTTTTTGGCCGAAAACCTACCGATTCGGTAGATTTTCGGCCAAAGAAATCACTCTGATTGGCTGTTCAGCTAGCGAATCAGTGCATGAGAAGCTAAACGGAAGTGAGGGACCCAAACAAACCATTAAGAAGGCAAATCTGAGATTTCATTTAACTCCAGCTCTCGACACAGGTTGGGGAAAGCCCCATGAGCTTCTCGCTGTAGAGTGAAAATGGAACGCACGCTATTTGTTGTTTGTTTATATCACGCAGTCTGTTCTTCTTCTCTCGGTGTATCACGCAGTCTGTCTTCCGGTTGTTGCCTCTTTTGAATGACGAATACACACTACCGCCGCCTGCTGCTAAGGAGAGTTATTGCCACTCACGCATGCGCAGTTTGTACGTGCTTCTTGGCCGTCGGCTGAAGTCTTTGAGGTGTGTTCCAGTGCGACTGATGGCCAAGACGCAGGAGACGTGAGGAGACACAACAGTCGGGTCCGTCTGTGTGAGTTCTTTGGTGTCAGCTTGGTGTGTCCCTACCTTTAAATGTAATTTAGGTTAACTTCCTGTTTTATTTAGATGCTTTTATTTTGAAGGCGAGTTTACGCTGTTGACAGGAAGTTGTTGTTGCTATGGAAACAACATGACTGCGAAAATAAATATCTTCTACATATAAAGACGGAGAAAGTAAAGAATAAAGTGTATGTTTAAATGTTAGCACCCCCCGAAGAGGCACAAGGTTGGTATTTACTATAATATAAAATTGTAGGTTGTGTCCTAATTCGTTTATAAGCTGTTTTGTAGCTTTGCTGTCTGTTTACAGTTCACTTTTGGTAGTATGCTAAAGTGATTCTAATACGGATTGAGCCTAAATGTATTTGTTATTTTTGTGTCTTTATAGCTCTTACGTTGACTCTGGAGTTTCAATAAATTCTAAATCATCAGTAAAGTCTACGACCATATTTCGGAGGGATATGCTACAGCTAGCATTAGCTATATTTACCTTGTTTACACTTAGCGGTCCTAAGTGTTAATCTGTGTATGTTACACTTGCATGTATGAGATCATTAAGTGCCTTGTATCTTCTTTTATTATAGTTTCACTCCGTTTGAATGTCACTGGACTGCAAATAAGTCAATAAAGGAGCATGGCTGCTCATTCCCTGGCTCTCAAAAGAGTTTGGCTGGCTGTTTAATCTATGTTCACACTGAGACAGTACAACACATAGAGAGAACAGTACACATATTGTCTAAGTACATACAAGCAGGTCACACAGTATGATCAGTTTTTATTAAAAAGTTCAGGCTGCATATCATGTGTTCTCAGCCTTGGAGAAACTTGACATGTTTTGGGATGTGTCTGAACCTCTCTTTAGTGGTTTAATAAAACAGATATTTGAACGTGAGCCTACTTTGTTCATGTGCTGTTGAGGTTAATGTCAGTAGTTGTGTGCTATAATGTATTTACAAAGTGTGAAGAGGAGGCAACTTTAGAATAGGGAACCTGTGAAATTATGAATAAAGAATGCTGGTGTATACAAGTCTGGCCTAAATCTTCTGTCAGAAAGATTGCAGCAATCCAAGGGGTGTAGATATCCAAACTTTAATTGTTCACAGGAGTTATGGTGTTACAGGATGTTCGTTTGTTATGTTGTGGTTATCTAGGAAATATAAATAAACAGAGTAGATCAAATTAGTGAATGACAATATTAATCCTAATAGTTACGTTACGATTTCCTGCTAGGAACAGTACATACACATAAATGCTGGAACAGTCAGCTACATGGTAAACAATACCAGAAATGCCCGCAAGAGGGCTCACTTGACCGCAACAAGTGCAAGTGTTTTAACACGTGATAATGGCGGCTTACCCCTAGATTCCACCGGGTCCGTCTGCGCCGCGTTACGGCTGAGCCTCGGGGTGTTTCTCAATCGCGAGTAAAGCTGCTTCAGAGCCACTATTTCAAGCATACTACGTCATCGAGTGCCGCCGAGGTACTGTTCCAATCTCCAGCATACTTGGAAATCTACCGAGCCCGGCGTACTCCGTTTGGAGAAATATCGAGGCTGCACATGAGTACACTCTTAAAATCTTCACAATGCTTTGCGCACGGACCAATTTCCCCAAATCTGTGGCGGAAGATGTAAGGCGGGGCCTCTCATATGACGCACACCTGCACACTTGCTAGCCTGTTCCACTCTTTGTTTTCCGAATGGCAGGTAGTATTCTTGACTCGCTTCTGAAGCAAGATGCTCGGCAGACATGTGCTACGAAGCAAGCGTACTCGCGATTGAGAAATGTCATGTTGTCAGTGTTATCGTAACAAATACATGTCATACTCTCCAGATGTCCTTTGTATTCAGTAAAGTTAGACGTTATTTACCGTTTGGCATTTTGACGACACATTGATGGTTTCTGAGTTCATAAATCCAAGAGAATCCTTGCTCACCAACACGGCAGCCACATCGTTTCTCCTCCAACGCTCATGTGAATCTTTGAACTTTCACTTCGTCTAAAAGATTTCTCACAATCTGAGCAGCTGAAAGGTTTCTCCTCAGTGTGGACTTGCAAGTGTTCAGACTACATCTGCGTAAATATCTTCCACTTCTCAGTCAGCAGCCGAGGGGTTTCTCTCCGGTGTGAACCTGCATGTGAAGGTTTAATTCCCCCCTCTGTGTATATCTGTTGCTACACAGAGAGCAGCTGAATGGTTTCTCTCCGGTGTGAACATCCATGTGTCTCGTCAGATGACTCCTGCGAATAAACCTTTTACTGCACAGTGAGCAGCTGAAGGGTTTCTCTCCGGTGTGAACTAGCATGTGTCTCGTCACATGACATCTGCGAATAAACATTTTACTGCACAGTGAGCAGCTGAAGGGTTTCTCTCCTGTGTGAATTAGCATGTGTCGATTCAGATCACTCTTTTTGCTAAATGTGTTCCCGCACTGAGAGCATTTACAGCGTTTCTTTGCAGAACTACGCCTTGAATCACTGACGGGGACTCGAGAGTTTGAACCTGACGGAGGGTCTCTGGTCTCCTTCCAACTGGCACTGTCTTCAGTGTCAGGTTCAGAAGAGTCTCCAGGGTTGTCCTCAGTCTCTGGTTGTAAACGTGTCTCTGGATCGGAGTTCTTGGCTGGTTCTGGTCCTCCACAGTCCTCTCCATCAGCTTCTGTTTGTCTCTGATGAAGCTGAGAGGACTGAGGTTTCTCTTCATCATCTTCACTCTTCACAGGGACAGGAGTGAATGTTGACTTGTTATCATCCTCCTCCAGCCCTTGAAGCTTCTCTCCCTCCTGACTGATCCAGAGTTCCTCCTGTTCCTCTTTAATGTGTGGGGGGGTCTCAGGGGGGAAACTCTTCTTTAACCTCCACCAGTTGGACGTCTGCAGGAAACAGGAAACAGGAAACAGAGACGTTACTGAGAATAGCTGTTGTGTTCATTACAGCTCAAAATCCCCTTCTTTGTTGAGCTCCAACGTTATCAGTTTTCCTATCGGTATAAACAAAATAAAAAAAGTATATAAAATAAATGTAATTGCGCCCTCTTGCTCTCGACGTGCGCCCCCAAACAAAATGCAGATTTCCCCCGTAAAATGTTAGTGATTCCAGAAAACAATATTTCTGTTCCTCAGAAACTGTAACTCCTCCAGAAATCTGAGAATCAAACAGAGCGTCAGACGACAGAGACTGCTTTGTTTTTACGGAGCTCCGACGTCACGTTGTTGTTTACGTCACGTTGTTGTTTACGTCACGTTGTTGTTTACGTCAGGAGATATCTTGTTTACGGGCGACATGTTCTCCAGAGATTTGATATATCTTATAAACAAGATCAGAGACACAGTACTCGTACTACATCTTTCTAGAAACACCCTGCAGTTGCTGAAGATGTTTCTTCATGTGTTTTGGAAAATCTGTGTTTTCATATCTGCATCGTTAAACATCTACCGTAGAGATATTTAAAGTTGCACGCATGAAGGACAGACCCTACCAAAATAAAACATATAGTATATATATATATATATATTAGGGCTGTCAAGTTAACGCGTTAATGCAATTTTTTAACGCCACTATATATTTTAACGTGCGATTAACGCATGTGTATTTGTCCTCGGCCCGCCCCGTAGTTTCAGAGCCCAAAGGCTTGACGTTGTTGTTGTTGTTGTTAGTTGGATGGTGGGAGATTCTAGCGAGAGATATGGATACAAGAAAAGGTGTTTTAAACAGCAAGCCAAGCTCACAGCTGATGCTCAGCCCCGCTCCTGCCGCTCGCTTGCAGCAGACCACGCTTGAAAGTTTGTCGGGGAGACGCCTGGACAACAACAGCGATAGCTAAATGGGTGGCTACAGCTTAACATTGTGGAGGACGAGGGGCTGCGTTGGATCATTCGGATCGCATCCGACGTGTCGACTGCACATCACAGCGCATTATTTTGACCCACGGTGGGAACTTCAGTCTCATGCTTTGACTGTTATGAAGACAGAGGAGCGGCATTTCACATTTTGTCTGTTTGAGCAACTGGCACAGAGAGAGAG